CATTGTAGGCATATGTGTGGTTTCGTTTTTTGTTAATTAATGCAACTGACAGGCTTCGGTAGTGTGAGTGACAATGAAACAAAAGTTTGAGCCATCTCCCTTGCAGGTGCTCTTGACAATGAAATCCCTTCAGCTCTACTTCTCTGAAACTCTCTCCTAGGTGGCACTACTATTTCCTGTGTGTCATCAACACCATTCAATTGTGATAGGTCGAAGATGATACCAAAGGAATTCCCCCTCCCTCCTCTAGAACAGCACTGTCATACTCTGGGGTGTCTTCTTGATGCAGCACGACACATAGGAGTGAAGATGGAAGTTCATCACAGCCAAAGGTAGGTTGTCATCATTGTTCCCCTCTTCTTCCTCCTCTTACTCAACTGGTCCTCTTTTTCTGTTGGCCCAGTGTGGGCACGGATCCTAAATATTGTAGCCAACCGTTCTCCTTCGTCCTCCTACTCATCCTCCATAGAAACCGTGGTCTTTTCCGACAGCCTCAAGCTCCACTTCAAACATTATTCGCCACGTCCTTGTTGGCGGACCAGCAGCATGTCTTCCAGAGTGATCCCCAAGTGAACTGTTTCTCATCCGGCGGACTAGGCGGCCAAGGTTCGAGCCCTTTGCCAAAGCCGTTCAGCCGATTTTGAGGGGCTTTGCAAGTGAGTATTGGGGTGGTATGTGAGTATTTTGTCCGTTCCGAGTCCAGACGTGTGTGTTTGTGTGTGTGACTGTTCTCAGTCCTGTTTGATTTGCTTTTTTTATATCAGGCAGGTGTGGGAGTCTTTTGTCTGTTCGTAGTCCACGACATGTGTCTTTGTCTGTTCTCAATCCAGTTGCCTTGTTTTTGGTTTCAGGCAGGCGTTCGAGTCTTTTGTCTGTTCTTCATCCAGATGCATGCGTTTTCATCTATTCTCAGTCCAGTCGGCTTTGCTTTGATCCTAGGCAGACACGTGAGTCGGTCACGAGCCCAGACGCGGGGCATGTTCTCTGTTCTCAGCCAGTATCACATTGCACTGGGGCAGCTTATTTTTTAGGCTGGGCCTGGATGCGATTTTGTGCCAGGCCATTTTCTTCTTCCAGGCCTTGCTGCTGATTCAGTGTGGTTGGGCCTGGATTGGAGCTGAGTCCCGGGCCACACGTTTTGGGGCCTGGGCCTGGGATTTTTCAAGCGGGCTTTCATCTGGACCGCTGCTTCCTTGAGTAGACAGGACGGCCCAGAGTTGACGCCTTGGATGGAGGAGATGCCCTCCCAGTTGTTGAGAGGTAGAGTTGACTGGGAGCAGCCCAGCACTGGTTGAGGTAGGATGAGCCCAGTGCTAGGGGAGTAGGGCAGCACTGTAGAGTTAGAGCTGGGAGAAGATGTGAGGTAGGAGTCTACTCACCTGCCAAAATATCCTGGAGGTCTGCCGCCATCCATAGCTGGCCTTCTTCTTCGATGCACCTGCAGTACTTTGAGAGGTGAGGTGAGGTTGGAGTCGACCCACCTGGCTGCATATCCTGGAGGTCTGCCACCAGCCATAGCTGACCTCCTCCTTCATGACACGTGGCCTGCATCACCGTCTCAAAGGTTCGCCTGTAGACTGAGACCGTACCCGAATTTCACATCATATTCAAATAGTGTTCTTGTTTTGCTTGTATTATCCTGATTCCACAGCCATTCCTTTGGGTCGAATTCCAAATCTCCTGTGCTGAGTTCTGGTTGGAAGATCAGCCATGGTTTAGTCGGGGAGACCTTGACTTTCTTGAGTAAGGTCTCTAGGATCTCGGTTTTGAGGTTCATTGTTTAGGATTACTAGTTCCTGGGCTTTGGATGATATGGAAGCGCAGATGCCAAGAAACTATAGATCAATCACCAATGTCGCCACAGGAAGGGTGGGAAGGAATACTACAGAATAGTACAGATAATAGAACTGGACTACAGGGGACGTTGGAAGAAGACCAGCAAGAAAATATCAGAAAACATAGAAAACAAGGATAAAATTACAGAGGCCTTCACGAAACAATTACTGGGAGAAGGGAAAATAGCTACAATATCGAACGGCCGAATCCGCTTCACCCAGTGGGGTCACAACATGACATTTCCAATACAAATCTCTGAACCGCCCAGAAGTAGATCCCACCTTAAAGCTTCTAACATGACCATAAGATCCAATTAGGAAAACACGAATCAGATCAAGCGAGTGTCCCAAAGGAAGCCTATAAACTAGCAGAGAGGAGGCACAGAGCCCCGACCAGTCTACTAGACAAGGGATCATAGTTGGAAGGGCACTAGCCAATTAAGGGAACCACAGCACAGCACTCCCAACCCAAGCTCGCAGTTAACCAGGGATAGTAGACGATCCAGATGCTACTAGGGTTCAGTGTTTAAAAGAAGCCAAAAGGCAGTAACAACAGTGCCAAAAAAAAAAACAAAAAAAACTAGGGTTCAGTGTTTAAAAGAAGCCAAAAGGCAGTAACAACAGTGCCAAAAAAAAA